AGCCTGGAGCAGGTGAGCTGGGGCAGCGATGCAAATACACTGAGTGATGCGAGCTCTTGGTCAGGGTCTAAATGGCAATGAAAGGCCAGTCTTTCCTAAATTTTCACAGTGGTTGCATTCCTGGAAAATTCAGTATCTATGAAAATTGTGCCAACAATATGTACTTTTTATATTTATATAAATGCAGAATGGAGTTGGTGCTAGGCTCGCACAATTATAAATATGTTTCTCACGGGCATGAGTGTCTGTGGGACATGTGGAGTCTTGCAGGATGTGGGGCAGGTCTTCACTGGTGGAAATGTCTTGCACATTGCAGGGTGTCCAATACCAAATGGACTCCACCTCTTAATACATCACCATGATACCCCAGAGTTGTGAACTGCTCCCTGGGGGGCCATACTTGCCCCACCGAGCATGACAGCTTTGGTTTCATTAGTAGGTACTGAGTGGTTAAAGCACAAATGCAAACGTGGACCCCAAAATAGCAGGGCATTAAGAGGTTATACGGTTAAGCGCTCGGCTGCTAACCAGAAGTTTGAACCACCCAGCGGCTCTGTGAGAGGAAGATCTGGCAATTTGCTTTTGTAAAGACTACAACCAAGAAAACCCTATGGGGCAGTTCTACTCTGTCACGTGGGGTGCTGTGAGTCGATTGACGTCACTCGGCAACAAAAACAACAATAGCTTATAAGGTCCGTAGGTGGCACAAAAGATTTGTGCTCGACTACTAACTTGAAGGTTGGCGGTTCCAACCTACCCAATGGTAAATGCAGAAGAAAGGCCTAGTGATTTGCTTCCTTTAAGATTACAAAAAAAAAAAAAAAAAAAAAAAACACCCAAACCCGGTGCTGTCCAGTTGATTCCGACTCATAGCAACCCTATAGGACAGAGTAGGACTGCCCCATAGGGTTTCCAAGGAGCGGCTGGTGCATTCAGACTGCCGACGTTTTGATTAACAGCTGAGCTCTTAACCACTGCGCCACCAGGGCTCCTCTATTAAATGTACAGCCAAGAAAATCCTATAGAGCAGTTCTGTAACACGTGGAGTTGCCTTGAGTCGGAATTGACTCGAGGGCAACGGGTTTGGTTTTAATAGGTTATAGGGAGTCCCTTGCTGGTGCAAACAGCTAACACTCTCGGCTTGCTCCGTCTCTGTCTAGATCTCTGTCTGTCTCTGTCTCTCTGTCTGTGTTTCCCTATTTCTCTCTCCAACCTAGAGGTCAAAGGCTCATTGCTGATAGTAACCACTCTGTGATGTTAATCACTTCTCTCTGGGTCCCAATATCCCCTTGGACTTAAAACCCACATGCCTTAGTGTAAACCCCATCCTCGTGGCTTTGTGCCTTGTAATAGCTGGATAATTTAGATGGAATAGCAACACCTGGAAACCTGCAGTAATTTTTACTTTACCTTCATGTTAACACTCTCGGCTGCTGTGTTTCTCTCCTTTTGCGTGTTTGGTGCAAATGACTTTCCTTGCCCTGTGTGTATCGTTCAATAAGCTAGGTAAATCTGCTTTGAGCCAGGCTTCTAGATTAATCTACTCAGAGAATATAGCCAAAGTCTGTCTTGGAGCCTCCGAGAGGATGAATGAGTTTCTGTTGCTGCTGTCATAGGGGTGGTTGGGCTTGCTGATATCTGTGTAGAGCTTTTTCTCTGGCGGAAGATCAGTCATAGCTGTATTTCACCTACAGTTGGGTTTTACTGATTTCTGTGAGTGGCGTTGGGTGTGGTGTTCACGTCCATGGAGGGGAAACCGTTCTGCCACATTCGGAGCACGCTGCGTTAAGAGTCACAGCTCTCAATTTTTCTGTTGGAAAGGGAAAAGCAGATGCGCAACCCAATGCTCCAGAGTAGCTCGCCTTAAAGAATATTTCTTTGATGTTTTATCTGAGACTGTTCTTAGAGATTTTTTCTTTCCATTTCATAATGTAGTCATGTTTGCTTTAATATAAAAATAATTTGCATAAAATTGATAGCCCAGAAAGATAAGCCCTGGGTTTCCTGGCTATCTACAGCTTCCCTTTGTGGACTTGTGGATCGTATTTTAAGAAGCAAGGACTTGAGGAAGCGCAGAATTCTAAAGTATTTTCCATGAACATGTGGTTTCGTGGCTTTATAAGTAAGTTCCTGTTTACCTTGTCTGTAAAGGTAACATTTTGCCTTTAAAAATGTTGGGGACTGTGTAACAGCTGTTTGAATCCTTAATAATAAAGGTATAAGAGCTGAAGATCATAACTATGTGCGTAATTTCAATTCCATGACCTATTCGCCATGCAGATTTCCACCAGTTATGAATAGAACATGTAGACATTTCACGAGCTACAGAACCTCCGTTTGCCTTTGCTTTGACCAGGGGCTCGTCCACAGTCACTAGTCAATTGTAGCTGTATTATGTAATTGGAGTCTAATTCTGTATTTCTCCATCACATCAAATACATATGTATACGTGTGTTAATTAAAGTTTGGGATGAGAGGTTTTCCTGAATGATGCTGTGAATGTATTTATGAGATACTCAGTGCAGAGGTGGAAGTAGGACTTGATACTTAAGTAGAAATGTGGAAAGTGCGGTAAGGATTTCCTTTGAAGTTTCAGTTTTGGGGCTTGGCGACTTCAGGTTCCTGGAAGAAGGACGAGTCGCCTCCTGCAGTGCTGTGTCTTCTTGGGGTTCCGCATAGACTTGGCATGCTGCAGGGCTGTCCTCAGCCCCAGGCAAGAGCGGCCCCTGTCATGGGCCCTGTGATTTGGACGGCGCTGCTCTCCCTCCTCCGGCCACATCCCTTGACGTGGCAAGGGGTCTGTAGGGCCAAGAGGGTGTGCCCATTTGGAGCCCTTGCCCACCAGCTACCCCTTCCTTGACCATGCTTCAGGTTCCCAGTACTCCTAGAATTCCCAAGCCACCTGGGCCCCCATTCCAGGGCCTCTGTGGTCCCTTTCCAGGGTTCCCCCATGGAGTGCACTGCCAGTGTATGTACTTCAGTCCGCGCAGTGGCCCGGGCTGCGTGGAGGAGGATGGCATTTGGACACGTGGGCTGGGGTGTCCACCTGAGTGCGCGTATAAGGACCCTCACAATACAGGATGGAGCTGGGGAAGGCTGGAGATGGGCCTTGGAGGTTAATGTAGCTGCATTACCCAGCCACATCCTGGGACTGCTCTGCTCGGATCCCAGTGCAGCCAATGCTATACATGGACAGTGTAGTCTGTACTTCTCCTGTGGGTCAGAGGACACAGAGGAAGCCACCAGATAAGGAACAGCTGGGCTCTGGGAGCCTGAGTGCTACAGAGCTGCCTCCAGCAGCTGGTCTGCTCTGCTTGGCTACTGGTTGGCAGTTTGAACCCACTCAGCGGCACTGCAGAAGAAAGTCCTGGTAATCTGCTTCTGTAAAGATTACAGCCAAGAAAACTCTATGGAGCAATTCTACTCTGACATATGGGGTTGCCTGAGTTGGAATTGACTTGACTCCAAGGGTTGTTTCTTGCAGAGAGAGTACTTGGCTGCTAAACGAAGGGTTGGAGGTTCAGATCCACCCACAGGTGCCTCAGAAGAAAGACCTGGCTATCTGCTTCCAAAAAGCAGCCATCAGAAACCCTGTGGAGCACAGTTCTACTCTGACACTCATGGGGCCCCCATGAGTTGGAATCAACTCTACGGCAGCACAGAAGCCAGACTACAGTGTGGTTCAGAAGTGGAAGGGCAGTGGAGACAATGAATATAAAAGTTCCTATAGGAAGCTTCTGGAGAAAAGAGGGAGAGGGAAGTAGTTAGGGGGAGGTAGGGAGGCATCTTCTCTGCCCAAGCTTTCCTGGGCCTTCCAAATGAATTCCTCCCTCTCGCCGTTTCTTTTCCCTCTCTCTCATTCTGCTCGTTTTTCTGTGATGTTCCCTCTGTAATTCCCGCTAGTGGTAGTCATTTTTGGAGCACACTTGAGGGGGTTGGGAGGCATGCCCCAGTGCTGGGGAACAGGACGATCTGGGGGTCTTCTCTCTGATGCTGTGCTACAGCACTATTGATAAGCTGCTGTGCCTCTGATACTTCAGTGTATGCTGCGTGCCTCTCAGAACCCTCGTGGCGCAGTGGTTAAGAGCTCAGCTGCTACCCAAAAGGTCAGCAGTTTGAATCCACCAGCCGCTCCTTGGAAACCCTGTGGGGCAGTTCTGCTCTGTCCTGTAGGATCGCTATGAGTCAGAATCGATTTGATGGCAGTGAATTTTGGTTTGTGTGTGTGTGTGCTGTCTGATCAGTACAAAGTGAATAATGGTCTGGTATTCAGTAATTTTATCTAAGCAAAATGTTTAGCATTGAATTAGTCAGGCTGGTTTTTTTCACTGGGCAACCAGAGACCTCATGGTTTGGCCTTAGAAGCTTTTCAAAGGCCTAAGGAAATGTCTGAGATCTGAAAACAGAACAAAACTAGATTGCAGACTGTCGGTTAAAAAAAACCCTGCAAAACTGGGTGAAAATGGTGAAACGTCTATAGAACGTGATAGCGTGGCTAATCACAGCTCAACTGGTTTGAAGTTATTTATAAGTTACCGCAACTTGGGATGTGGGTCTGTTAACGTACTTGCTGTAGTGAAGAATGAGGACTCAAAAGTAAGCTGAGCAGGCCCGTTGTTAAAAGGCCCTGTTCATTTTTTCTGGCATCTTGTAGGCTTCTCTCAGGCAATGCCGGAGCTTCTGTTTTCCCAGGGCATCCCTTCAGCTGTGAGATCCTCGGGTTGTTTTATTCATTTCTGTATTTGTGTGTCAAGCAAAATGCCAGATTCATTTGTGTCTTTAGAAATAGCTCGTGGTTGTCAGACTCGGTGTATTGCTAAACCCCGTGATTTGATTGTCTGAGAGTTCTGTATCAAAACACTGTGGAACACACTTTTAACCCCCAACTCATTTTCACAAGCGTTTAAAGCCTTTCTGATATCTCTTGAGATCATTGCAATCTGTTCGTGACCTGCAGACTTCTTTCCTCAAATCCATACTCCTGTGTTCTTGCTTTCCAGGTAGATGTGCTTGAAAGATGGTGACACGCTGCTGAGAGACAGACCCACTTAGCTCAAGAAAGCTGCTCTGAGGTGACAGGACCGCTTCACTCCCCCTCTGCCTGGCATCTCTCACAGACAGCTGGAGCCCACAACTGTCAGCATCAGGTGGTCCTTGAACGTTCCTCCACTGTATGCAAAACCATTTTAATGGTGTTGTACGTTTTTCTTTGGGACAGCTTCATGGTTTTACCAGCTTTTTAAAGAGGTTTGTTATCCATTAAGTTGTCCCTGGCTGGTGCAGACGCTTAAGCTCAGATTTCTAGCTGAAAGTTTGGAGGTTCAAACCCACCCAGAGACGCCTTAGAAGACAGGCCAGGCGATCTGCTTCTGGAAACCCTATGGAGCAGTTCTCCTCTGCACACACGGGGTCCCCGTGAGTGGGAATTGACTCAACAGCAACTAACAACCACAACAACAGCAACCTGTTAGCAGCCACAGCTCGCCTGCTTTCCCAGAGTTACGGTCTCACGGTTCTCCAGGGAAACAGAACCAGGAGATTTACATTAAATAGATAGACAGATATTTATTTATATGTGCATGTATAGAGATACATACATATATATGCATATGTGTAGAGAGAAAAGCAGACAGAGAGAGAGATTGATTGATTTAAGCAATTGGCTCACTTGATCGTGGGGGCTGGCAAGTCCAGAATCCATACATCAGGCGTGGGCTGGAAACTGCAGCAGGATATCTGTTTATGGTCTTAAAGCAGAATCCTTCTCCTCCAGGAAACCTCGGTCTTTGCTCTTAAGGCCTTCACCTGATTGGATGAGGCCCACCCTCATTGTGGAGGTCAGCTGGTTTAAATGTTAATCACATGTAAACGTCTTCTTAACAACATCTAGACTGGTGACTGAACAGCTGGGCACCACAGTCTGACCAAGTTGGCACATACAGCTGACCACCCCAGTCACCTCATCTGCCCTCAGCTGCAGCTATGAGCTGTGTGATGGTGGCTCCCAACTCAGTGTCTGATATCTCCCCAATTCCAGCACATTCCAGCCCTTACTGTCCATTTGTACTCAACTTCTACTCCACACAACAATCTCGATTTTTGCTGGCACTGCAGTGCCTCACCTAGTCCCAGGAGCCCAGGAGCCCAATGGCCCTGAGGCTGCAGCCCGGGGCCTCTCCTCCTGGCCACCTGTGTGTAAGCGAACTTGACCTCTTTACCTGGACCTGTTCCCTCCTCATGCCCTCCTCAGCGAGTTGGGGCTCTTGCCCTCCACTGCCCTGTATCACAGTCCAGTCAGCCCCCAGTTCTCTCACTTGCCTCTGGTGGGTCTCAGATATGCCCTGTTGTGAATTTCTTTTATTGCTGGTTTGATTCACCCCCTCATTCTCTCTCATCTGGACCTCCACAGCAGCTTCCCGACTGTTCCTCCTGCCTCCAGGCTTGTCTCCAGTTTATATTCCACACAGATGCCAAGAATCCTATAAAAAATGAAAGTCTGGGCATACCTCACCCTGTGGCTTAAACCTTAAAGCGGTTCCTGCCACCGACAAATTGCAGTCCAAACTCCTCAGCAGGACCCTTCATGTTCTGGGCCCCTCTAGCCTCCCCAGCCTCATGGCTTAGCACCCCCACCAAGCGTGATGTTGCTTGGTCCGCTCCTGCACCACAGCCTCATCGCCCACATGAGGTTCAGGTAATACTTCATCCTGCAAACCTCCTCCCAGTTAGGGACCCCTGCCTTTGTGCTTGCATCATACCCTGGGCAGATCTCTCCCTTTGGACATCCCCACATTACAGTATAACTCTGTCGATGTGCCCATTTTCCTCGCTACCACACGAGCTCCTTGAGCCAGGCTCTGGGTCGTTATTCATATTTTTATTTCCAGAGCCAATTATAGATGGTAGGCATATAGTAGATATTTAATATACAGGAGTTGAATACAGAAATGAATGAACAAAGAAATGAATGAATACCGGAAACATTTTACCAAAACTTGTATTTGTCATCAGAACATGGGGTGATTTAATAATAGCTCACATTTGCGTTAAATTTAAAAAGAAATGCAAATGGAATGCTCCTTAGAAGCAAGGATGGCGAGGCTTCGTGTTGCTTACTTTGGACCGTCATCTGGAGAGACCAGTTGCTAGGAAAGGACTTCGTGGTTGGTCAAGTAGAGGACCGATGAGAAGGAGGGAAATCCTCAATGAGATGGGTTGACGCAGCAGCTGCAACAGTGGGCTCAAACGTCAGTGACTGTGAGGATGACACGAGACCAGGCAGCGTTGTGTCCTCTTGTACATACGATTGCCGTGAGTCAGAGCTAACTGGATAACAACTGACAACATTTTAGTGATGGCCATTTTCCAGACATTGTTCCAAGCCCTCAATATGTGACAGCTCAATCCTCACACCAACTCCCAATGATGAAATACTATTGCCATCATCCCCATTTTGTCAAGTGGGGAAACAGGCACAGAGCCTGAGCTTTTATCCGTTGTACCACTGATGGGCTATGAGGAACGTATCTCATGATCACACTTGGCTGAATGCCTGAATTGTGACCATCTGCATTACCAAGTTCGTTTAGTATTTTGATATACTTTTTTGTCTCCGGCATGAATGCATTGCTTGGGATGCAATAGAATACAAATGTTTGTTAAAGGACCTCCTGACTTGGACAGCTTTTCAACTCCTGACACTGAAGACTAGTCAGGTTTGGCTCCACTCTTGGAATTTCTGTGTTTTAGGGTTTGCATTCATTTTTGGAGGGAGAAGCATATTTCGTTTAGTCTTGGATCCATTCTTTTCCTCCTTCCCTTTCAGTGTCGCCCCTCCCTTAGATAATTTGACCATTAACCGCATCCATGGGCTTTGAGCCAATCCCATTGCCTTAGGGCCCTGGGGACTGATATGCCTTCACAGAGGAATCTGCTTTTTCCCAGAGCAGTTCTGTGGCGGGTTTAGCTGTACCTGTTTTATAGGATGTTAAAGCAGGAAGGCATCTAGGTCATCTGACTGTTACCCACCTTATACAGATGAAGCAGCTGAGGTCCAGTGAGGTGTCATGTCCCAAGATCACTCTATCCCCGATTAGCCGGCCACGCCATCCTTAGACATACAATGAGTTAAACCTTGTTTGTCCACAGTTAATTTGGGCTAATACCGCTAGATAAATGCTCTATAAACTTCAGCCTGGGTCTCTTCCTTTTTTTCATTGACCAAAGCATCAAACAAGCCAGATCTTGTAAATCAAAAAAGCCAGATCTTGTAACTAAATGAAGTAACAGCTGGCAGGTGTTCACTTGATTTCATAACACCCTTATTTTGCTTTTGATAAACTAATGCAAGTAATTGACTGGCCTGGAACTTGTAATTGGGAACGTTTGAACCCTTTCTTTCCTTTCTCTTTATTATAAGGACTTAAAACACACTTCCACACAGTCCCAGAAAGAGATAAGCCAGCTGAAGTTTCAATACATTCTTATTTAACAATCTGAATATAATTTAAAGGTAAGTATGCTAATGATATCATTAGACTAATTTTGAGAGAAGGTCAATTTACATGAATACAATGTCAGAATTACAGGCTTCTGAAGGAATGCAGTTTTACAACTTTCAGGCAGGTTTCAACACTTGAGCCAAGTTTAGGAATCATGGTCCTAATACTGGGAATAACATAAGGAGAATATGAATGGGCGTGTCTGGCATGCTTAGACAGCCTCCCCCCCCACCCTTTAGCATTGACTTAAAGAGCACTTTATAAATTTAAAAAATACCCTTTAACACAACTTCTTTTATTTATTTATTTTTATTGTACTTTAGATGGAGGTTTACAGAACAAATAGTTTCTCATTAAACAGTCAGTACACATATTGTTTTATGACAATGGGTAACAATCCCATGACATGTCACCATTGTCCCTTCTCAACCTTGGGTTCCCTATTACCAGCTTTCCTGTCCCCTCCTGCCTTCTAGTCCTTGTCCCTGGACTGTTGTGCCCCATTAGTCTCATTTTGTTTTATGGGGCCGTCTAATCTTTGGTTGAATGGTGAACCTCTGGAGTGACTTCATTACTGAGCTAAAAGGGTGTCTGGAGGCCATACTTTTGGGGTTTCTCCAGTCTCTGTCCGGCCAGTAAGTCTGGTCTTTTTTTGTGAGTTAGAATTTTGTTCTGCATTTTTGTCTAGCTCTGTCTGGGACCCTCTGTTGTGATCCTGTTCAGAGCAGTCAGTGGTGGTAGCCGGGCACCATCTAGTTGTACTGGGCTCAGTCTGGTGAAGGCCATGGTAGTTGTGGTCCATTAGTCCTTTAGACTAATCATTTCCTTGTATCTTGTTTTCTTCATTCTCCCTTGCTCCCCAAGGGGTGAGACCAGTGGAGTATCTTTGATGGCTGCTCACAGGCTTTTAAGACCCTAGACGCTACTCACCAAGGTAGAATGTAGAACATTGTCTTTATAAACTGTGTTATGCCAATTGAGCTAGATGTTTTAATACAACTTCTTAAATCATTTTCCAGCTAATATTCAAAGGATTGCATTTCCTTAGTAGGGTCTAAATTAGTGATGTCTTCGTTAAAATGTTTTCTGTTGGCATATTTACTTATAACTACAGATAAGAATATAGGTAAATTTAATCTCTTGTAAAAATCAAAATCAAACGACACATTGCATTGGGCAAATATGCTGCAAGAGACCGCTTTACAGTGTTAAAAAGCAAAGATGTCACCCTGAAGACTAAGGTGCACCTGACCCAAGCCATAGTGTTTTCAGTTGCCTCATAATGCATGTGAAAGCCGGGCAATGAATAAGGAAGACCAAAGAAGAATTGACGCCTTTGAATTATGGTGTTGGAGAAGAATACTGAATATACCATGGACTGCCAGAAGAATGAACAAATCTGTCCTGGAAGAAGCACAGTCAGAATGCTCCTTAGAAACAAGGATGGCAACTTCGTCTCTCATATTTTGGACATGTTATCAGGAGAGACCAGTCCCTAGAGAAGGACATCATGCTTGGTGAAGTAGAGAGTCAGTGAAAAAGAGGAAGACCCTCAACCAGATAGATTGACACAGTGGCCATGTCAATGGGCTCGAGCATAACAACGATTGTGAGGATCGCGAGGGCCCGGGCAGTGTTTCGTTCTGTTGTGCGTAGGGTCGCTACGAGTCAGACGCACCTCGATGGCACCGAACAACCACAACAACAAAAATTAAAACGTGATTTTGTTTTTCAGAGCATAAAATGATACGGACTCCTTTGAACATAGTCTCTGGGGTTAGATGGAAGGGATAACTATTTCTTTGGTTCATTTTTTCATTCACTCCACAAGAATTTCTTAAGAGCTTCCCGTCCTAAGCACAGTGCTAAATGCTGTGGGTGCAGTGAGAAGCAAGTGGAGTTTCCTGCCCTCAGGAAAGTTTCCTCTCCTCCGTGAACTGCAGTAAAGTCCGCTGATGGGCATAAGCACAGATTGCTGGGCGGCCCAGAGGAGAAATGTCTAACCAGGCAAGGAGTGTGGGAGGCTTCTGGGCATGGTTGGAGTGAAGTGGCCCGAGGCTGAGGCCTCATAGATCTGGGAGCTAGTCAGAGAGAACAGCAAAGGTGAAGACTCAGAGGGTGGAGAACATGGCAAGGTCCTGGCTGAAGTATGGCGTGTGCTGAGGGGAGCGAGGGGAACATAAGTCAGAGCTAAGCCCAGAGAACCTGTACCCTTTGCTGAGGAGTTTGGACTTTTTCTAGGGGCACGGGGGAGCCAACAATGAGGTTGTGGACTATTGTTTGGTGGGCTGATAGTTTGTAGGCTCTCTGGTTTGACTGGAAGAAGTCTCTATGCAGAGAAGCCAGTGAGGAGCCTGCTGCCATAATTAATCCAGGCAGGAGATGGTCATTGCTTCAGCTAATGAGACATCTGTCGTGGGGCTTGAGCGAAGTGGGTCGGTTTGATGGTCTTAGGAAACAGACTGGCTAGGGCTGGGTGAAAGAGTGGCTCTGGGGGTGGTGGTGACAGGATAATTGATCTCAGGTCTCTTGCTGGATGGGTGCATGGTAGCTTCGAGG